CCACGTCTCTGCTTACTTCCGCTTTATTCCGTGTGGCAGCCAGCAGCGTTCCACACGCCCGGAAGCGTGCGGGTTCGCCTCAACAGCGGCATAACTCAAGATTGGAAAGGAACATCAACAGACGACCACGCTGTGGACCGAAGCAAGAAGAATGATAACACAGATCCAACTGTTGAAGGGGCTTCTTCTGGTATGAAGGACAGAGAAGAATTTGAGGGAGTAGCCCAACGTGATAAGCCTCAGGCGGCGACGGAGAGAGGAGGATTGAAACATTGGAAGAAGGCTAAAGAAGAGCATCCTAAGGCACCTGAACCGATTATTGGAATGAATGATGAAAGAGCTCAGGTATGTTTTCAACCCTTCAGACCAGTGACAAATAAGCTAGGACATTCCTGGGATAAAGAGTCGATACCTTCCATCAGGACCAGGTGACTGACTATTGATATCTTTAATAGAAGGGTCATTGATCTGAAAGTTGGGTTGCTTTTCTGCATGATTCATTTTCGGCTATGTACTTTGGATAACCGCCATAAGCGTTATATTGTTCGTTCCTAGTCATATCAACTGTATATAAATTGAATAATGAAATCTATCGGCCAGGCTTGAAGGATAGCACCTAAAAAAAACGATGCGGGTTAGCGACCGGTATTGATATAGTTGTAGAAAGGTTAGCACCTACATCATGTTTTCCTACTTGTACAATTTCATCTTCCGAGACGCGGATACCACCAACGCCCTCGATGTAGGAGATCGGTATATCCCCCATGACCTTGTTAGCAACATCGCCAACCGTAGTGCCCCTACTCGGTGTCAGATGGATTAATGAGGTGTGGGGTTTGCCATTAGCATCACTTACTTCTTGACCAGAACACAATCGCGGAACGCTGCATCACTTCCAGCTCCTGACGCGAAAGTGTGTACGTTCCTGACTGGGAAGACTGGAACCAAACCTAGGAGCTCTGCGGCACGCGAAAGGCATTGTACAACTCCAGTTGAGCCAAAACGATAGAGTACCATGTCTTTTAAGTTTTCGACACGACTAATGTGATGTCCATGTTAGCCAGACAGATACTGCACAAATGCTAGGGTGACCTACGTCTTCAACTTCTCATCCATCTCCTTTAAGCCACCGCCGTCCGGTTCGCCCATCTCTATGAGGTCTTCTCGCGTATCTAGGAATTCGCTTCCTTCGATGTATTTGATGTAACTTTGTTTCGCTAACCTCCGAAGAAACACTTCTGATATTGCCGAGCAGAGAACAATGGACTGAGGGTCCTGCATCTTGGCAATTTTGCTGATATTCTAAAGTCACTCTTGTCAGCATCGATCAAACACCAAACGGGAATGCTGACAAACCTTGTCTGCGTCAGGATGATCGATTTTGTTTAAAGCATAGACCGTGGGGAATTTTTCATCGATAAAAGCTTTGACAACCTTCTCAACCGTCTCATCGGACCAGTCCTCAAGCGGCTCCTTCAAGCCTATCCGATCTAGGCAGCGTGCAACAATCGTTGACGTACTTCCATAACCGGAGAACTGCCCCTGTAAGGTGTCCACGGCCGTTGCCTCTATTGTAAGCGTCAGTATGCAGGAAACATTTGGGAATTACTATAGACAGACTTATGGCCATGTGTCTCCTCTTGATGGATCCCCTACAAGAATCATTAGCACTGACAGCTTAGGTTCAGGTGCGTGTCGATTTACCATTTTTGCATCAAGTTTCCTAGCACCCAACGCACAATCTCAGAATGTAACCATTCAATATCTTGTGAAGGATCATAACCTCGAGTTGCTTTGCCTGAAATACACACAGACCTGTTAGCCAATATATTTCAACAGCGTTTGCGAAACCGCGAGAAATCCTGACCTTCTGCATCTGTGGTTCCACTAACATCAACCACGTGGATCAAAGCATCTGCATGACGCAAATCATCCAGAAACTTGTTGCCCAGCCCTCGACCTTGATGCGCGCCTGGAACGAGACCTGCAACGTCCAAGAGCTCGATGGGAACAGAGCGTCTTCCTTCTACACAGCCCCCATAATTCGGTTTGCACTTATCAGACACACCATATCGCTGGCATGCACATTCTATTTGGAGGTAGCCAATGGCGCGCTGAGGATCGATTGTAGTGAAACTAAAGCTCACTGATTAGACGTCTTCGGACAGCAAGATTTGGACTATTGGGGCCGGGCGTGACGGAGCGATATGACGGAGCGCATTGTGGTTTAACTTACGGGAAGTTCCCTACATATAGAAAATGTTCCGGTCAATGCACATATACTTTTGCTACATAGCTAACAAAGATAACCTTACCAACTTTCGAAGTAGCGTCTGTCAAGCTATTCAGCGTTGTCGATTTTCCGCTGGATGGCTACATGCCCCTCAGTTCAGGTCAGCGGCGTATCTTCCGAGATAACGAAGAGTAGCAGACCTTTCCAACCAACCCAATCAATGGATCCCTGGGCATACTAGCAGATATCTGGGAGACAAAACGTACAATAGAGAAACACAACGGCAGAACAAGAGTCTATTCCTGTCTAACAACATGCAACCAAAAAAATCATTTCGCTTGGTAGCGGGGAACTGATGGACAGTTTTGGCATCTTGTAACGGAAGGCGGTCTACCTTCATGTCCTAAGATTGACTAGCGTTACTGTTCTGGGTATAGCGTGTTGAAGCTGTTACTGATTTCATTTCCTCAGTTAATACTAGTATCGACAACATACATGTGACTAGTGCTTACTGTCAACTACCAGTAGTACTAATAGTAGTACTACTTAGAAGTACTGCATGTAGTACTGAAGCAGTGGAACACAGCATGTGGTAATACATGCAGTTTTGTTAAGAAAATATGCCGTGTCCAAAGACTGACTCAAGAGTGCATCGTTACTACTATACGATACGGGATATATATTTAAGTACTTATCTGTAGTGGTTCTATATCAACGAGCCTATACTCCATACTCATCAGTCGCTGTTGTTTATCATAAGACTGGCTAACATAACAAGAGAGACCCTTCAGACTATACGCACAACGATTTTCAATATCAGTCCGGCACTTTTGTCCTGTGGTCATAGGCTTCAAGGGACGACGGTGATGAATATAGAATATGGGCTCACAGGGAGTCTGTGAGTAGCAGCCTGGCTCTCTATGACATTTTCTTGCACTTTGTACACTACTAGATCTGCAGTTGCTCTCGCATACTACTGAGGCCCCCCTTACTCTTCTGCCAGTCTGTTACAGTTCTTCTTTATGCCTCGAAAAATAGTGTTTCACGAACCCCAAATTCATATGTCATTGCTTCAAGGATTCTTCATGCAGCAATATAGAACCAAGACCTTGTAAATGATGTGATACGAGCACTTGGTATTGAGCCATTCAGCGCTGAATGGGTCGAAGTCTTTAGAACTCCATCTGGATGATCAGGTGGCACAGGAGTTTTAGAAATATGGAAGTTCGGAAGGGTGCATATGTAACACTCCAACAGCCGAAGAAATGAAACAAGAAATGAAGCTATATAAGTCCCATTCATCTGTCGCTCTTCAATAAGCCCCGGAAGCCTCAACCTACACATTGATATTACCATCATCGAACTACAAGCGGATCTCCCCGAGACCTACTTTGTTTATCTTTGAGTATATACTAATCAGTGAGCTTTGTATTTACTAGCAGAAATCCCTATAATTCGCTGATATGGATGCAAGGTTGTCCGACTCCGCCATGCATTCTATCCTAACATCGCTTTTCTTTAGCGCTCTGGCTGCTACTGCGGCAGTTGGTAAAGGATATCCTGCGCATCTCCATAGATAAGGTGCTCACTGTAGCTAGACAATACCGAACCAGGCACCCAAATGGGGAGCCCAACTGGAACAGACCCCATACCTGCACAAGGAAACTGCTTCTGGAGTGGAACTGCGCCTTTCTGTGCGGGAAGTTGTGACAATGCTACTCACTGGGATTGTGGCACGTCGAGTTGTGGTGATGGTGCATGCTGCTGGATAGGCATCAAGAGACATTGCTGCCACAAGTCCGCATCCCCAAGCGGCTGCCCAGCTAGTGGATCAACAACCATCATATTCTAGATGCTCTAGGTATATTCAGGGCGGATCTACAATCTAGTTACTAGCTCCTGCTGCCATTAAGTCTTGTAAACTCGAATGTCTAATCTGGCCTGAGACAACTTGTGAGTCTCAATGTATGGCTTTAGTGTCCTGTAGTAGCGAGTACCGAGCCTATTCTCAACATAATCTGTGGCATACTGTCCGCGAGCAGTTCGGACTGAACTGTAACTCCGTATTCAGAAGGAATCGCGTAAGCCTCGATATACTACGTTTTCCTCTTCTTTGGTACTCCAGAGGTCACAACTTAAGAAATGTACTCTATGCCTAATGATCTCATATGTGTGAAACTGTGATAAAAAAGCTAGATAATTTACCCCTGTTTCATCATATTACCTGAATTGTGGTCATGTATATACATGAAGAAATGCGTCATCGTAAATCCATACGTACTGAATGAGTGATGAAAGAGGCCCATCGCAGCGTTCTTTGAAATGGAGAATGACATACGATGACTTGCCATTCTAGGGCTAAGCTGATCACCATAGAATTAAAAATAGAATTGAATGATTTAAGGAATATTCTCAAGTACTAACGTGGAGGCTAAATCCGTATGAAGTCAGGGCGTATCCGGTGACGATCGCTAAGGTACAATTTTGAAGCAACCAGGAAGCCCATTAAATCAAATTCCGATTTGATCTCACCGCAAGGCATTTGATTGGATCGTTGAATATTCGAATTATGTATTCGAGTCCCAAGGGTTCAGTGTTTCCCCGCCGTGCTGTTCCCAGGGTGGGTTTCGCATCATCCAAAGCCTGGACATCAGCTAATGTCGTCATAGGTGCAACAACGTCACCAGTCTTCACATCATGCACCGAACAACAAACATATAAGTACCCCCAAACTCCTCTGTAGATGAAGTTTCTTTTCATCATAATCAAAATAATCGTTCGATTAATTCCCTCTGCAATCTACCAGCGTCGACCACAGATCAACCAGAACCCCTTCTTACACCACTTCACACAAAATGTCTGACCAAACATTCCATACAACCACTCAGGATATCCGCAAGCCTGAATCTAAGATCTCCCAAGCCCACCAGGGAAACATCCCTAAGAACTCAGATGTCTCGGCTATGAAGGTAAGATTGGATTTCAGAGGTGATCAAGTTGCGAACCCTCACTAATAACTCCCATAGTCCCTCCTCAGCGAGAACACCGACAAGAAGCAGCAGATTGAACAGACCAAGTCCAACCTGCCTCTACCTGATCAGCCACCAGTCGCTAGCGACTGGAACTCATTAGACCAGAGGACAGTCAACGTTGGCTCTGGCCGTCACCAGGCACCTGTTTCTGGCGAGGGCAACAGCGCTCTGAGAGAGCCCGCAACCGCTAGCAGCAGTGTCCGTCAAGATGGAGACGAATTGCACAAGCAAACCCAGCCACTGGGCAATGTTGGGCGCCAGGGGAAGGACAACCTGAGTGATCTTCCCAAGGATGCCCTGGCACGGTAATTTATGATTTTGGGAGTTTGATGGATCATGGATACCAGTCGTGGTATATGGGCGTTATACATCATGAGCGCGATGATTTTGTATTTTAGTAGCTATTAACGCATACAAATACATGAAAAGTATATCTGAGACGATTCTACCTCTTTTTCTTTTTTCTTTTCTCTGTTTAAAAATAAGCACCGTAGTTGTGTAATACCAAGATTGCTCATACTCGTTAAACTCATCTGGCTTAATCCGTACGAATACTCCAGATATTGCTATACCACAATATGGCTCGGGCATCTCTTTTGTTTAGGCTCTTTCACACTTTAGTCGATGCATCAGAGTTACATATTTACTTCGAAAGTTGATGAATACCACGTGACCATTGGGCCCTAGACGGGATGACACTTTGCGAATCGGGTTAATCGAAAAGTTTAACACAGGAGCAGGAAATTCTAATTCAACCACCCAGCCTTCATGACTTCGAAGCCGACATGCTAGATCGTCGATTTCTTTTCGCTAAGGATGTGAAACAAAGGCAGTTGCTCTGCGGTCGTCTCGGGATATGATGGTATCATACCCCTTCGTTGTTGTTCATGCAACAGGGATTGGTGGTGGTGACAATGACGTCACCCGCATTGTGTTACTACGCCATAGTCTGGTAGCATTTCCACAGGGATGACATTCATCCAGCATTCGTTAACGCAATCGAGAAGACCACGGAAATCACACCGAACCCGGCAGTAGGGTGTGTGGAGAGCCGACCCTGTCTGGCTACACGATACCATAGGCGGTAGGAGGGCCATCCAGATCAGCTTCTGGACAACTAGGATCCCGGATAAAGTGGGCTCTTTCTTTCTTGTCATCGAGCTAGATCGCCACTGAAAGAGTCTCAGAATTCGGGAGCCGTGCTTGTTGACGTACCTGTTGGTTGTCCGCTGGGGCCTTCGACGGTCTCTGGACATGGTGGACTTTTACCGTCAGAATGACATCATCCAGGTTGATGATCTGAATATCATAGTTGATGGCATGAGATGCCAATCCTATATAGCATTGCCATCGCACTGCTCAGGTTGTCTTCGTCAGATCATTTGAAAACAGAAATCTACGATACTACGATATTCAACACTTCAAACTACTTCAATCCCATCTGCAGCGCCGAAACTTTACGCAAGATTTATACATACATCTATCATCATGGATCTTCAAGGACAGCCCATCGGTCAAGGACCCCGCAGCACTAAGGTATGTTTGCAAGCCCGAAATAGATGTAGAAAACCCTGGCTAACGGCTCCCAGGTCACCACTGATCCTGAGGCTTCCCGCAACCCCATCCAAGAATCCTCTGGACCAGTGGCCGGAGACTCTCTTGCTGCCGAATCTGCCACCAAGGGCGGCGTCTACTCTCAGAACCGTGGTGCCCAGCCTCTCGGTGTGACTGGCCAGCAGTCCACCTTGAACACCAAGGACACATCAGCTGCCTCCGAGCTGCCATCCGCCCCAGTTGGTGCTGCTCGTGAGAACCTCGACAGGCAGGAGAAATACCCTGAAGCTCTCGGTGGCCAAGGTGACTTCCCTGGCCCCCATCTTTCTACCTCGGGCTACGTTGGTGGTCCCACCGGTTCGAAGCAGCAGCAGCAGCAAGGAGCCCAGAAACAGTTCAATGCCTCTCAGAACCAGCAGCGTGGCACCGCCAACGCTAGCGGCAGTGGCTACCAGACCCGGTCCAAGACTGGCACTGCACCATCATATGCCCAGGACGTGGTCGGTGACTTGAGCAGCAAGAAGCCCCACGGCAATAACTTGAAGGAAGGTGGTTTTGATGACAGCAACAATGCGAGCTTCACCACTGATATTGGCGGCGAGAACGACCCTGGCCGTCTCGCCACGAAGGGCTTCCAGCAGAAGCAGACAGAATCCGGACCTACCGCCACACCGGCTGGCCGGGAGCAGAAGGGTGTCGACGACCAGCACTGGTACCAGTCTTTGCAGTCTGACCAGCGCGCTTAATTAAATAATGACTTTGACGGACGGTATGAAGAGCTCATAAGCGGGTATCTTGTGTTATTTTCAACTCCAGCCTCTGCAGAGATGGCCATGTACTATAGATAATATGAATTAAAAAAAAATTCATGAAGAATTAAACTTCCGTCATAGAACTATAACCCTCGATACACGGGCAACTCAGCTTTACGATCTCTGTCCTGGGAAGTAGATTGATTTTATCTGCGACAGCAATCACTTCTTAATCAACATATTTTAAACTGACGCAGATGGAGCTACGTCAGGCGGAACCAAATCGGCTTTCCCACTTATACACTGGAGAGGACATCTAAATAACCGATGGCAGTTCTAAACAACATATCCAAAATTGCCTGCTAAGATTTCAAATTACACAATATCAAGAAAAATCGAAAAGTTTCATTTCCGCTATTCAGCCCGCGCAACTCCAATCCCAAAGCAATCGGTAACGACACCATCCCTCCACCCAGAGGAGTTCAATCCCACTTCCAGGAATGACCCAGGTTCATATCTACACAAGAACAGTTCAATCTAGCTAGATCAGTCAACTGATAATCGGTCAATGCTGGGAACGGCATATTTTTTATTTTCCTTACTTCGTTGCGATTTGATGGCCGCGCGTTGGGGTGTCGTGTGGATCATTCGTTAGTTTCCATCCCTTGCTGATAGACGCTTGTTTTGTGGAGCTTACGGGGTGGAAAAGGTTGAGGCCTTGAGTAGGGGTGTTTCTGCAATGGTCTAGAGAGGATAGAGGCGTGTGTGTTTAACCAAAGAGTATTCAATGTGGATTTATGGATTTATACATTTGTGGTTCAAGGTTTATGTATTCAGTTATTAGGGTCGCTAGCTGTTCTCTATAGTATTTGCTAGAGAAGGAGCCTTGATTTCTAGGACGAACAGTGGTTGGAGTGTTCGGACTAGAAGTTCCACTGCTTCACCCAGTTTGCCATCAGTTCAGTCGAGATCGGTGTCATCGACTTCATGGTAATGCTCGCCTCCTTTGTCTTTTCTACTTCAATGGGAGCCGACAATGCCCCTTCCCCTTCCACCAGCCCTTGGTAAAAGCCAAGTAGCTTCAATGCGGGCTTCGCCGCAACCTCTGCTGGTGATGGGTTGGTGATACTCTCCAACTCATTGACCCATTCACACATCTCAATTGGCTGGACATTGTAGCGCTCCTGAATTGCGGGCAGAAGGCTTTCCCACGAAGTCGCCGATGGGTTGACTAAGTGGAATACAGAACAGGTGGAATCCGTCTGGCTTGCGCTACGTGTGTGAATAAGCTCCGTGATGATAGCAGCAAGTGTGTCCTATCCATTTATTAGCTGAGAAGGTTAAGGTAGAGAGGTTGTGTCGCAACTTACCACTGGGGTCCACTCTACTGGCATTGATCCTAAGGTACGAGGAATCTTGCCAATCGCCTTCGATGTGGCAACAATAAGTGGTAGCCATTCCTGCCTGTTCCACATCCCACTTTCAGTTGTTGGGCCGGCAATCTGTCCTAGGCGTAAAAGCGTTGTTGGTACACCCGCTTTCTGAGATGCTGCCAGGCAGATACGCTCGCAAATATGTTTTGCTTCGGCATATCCCTGACGCAATGTAACGTCACAGTCCACTAAGGGAGTTTCAGGAACGGATGGTCCATGTGTGAGGCTCCATCCGCCGATGGTCCCAATAGAAGACATGAAGAAGATGTGAGCATGGTGTATGCTCTGTATACTGAAGTCGATAAAATGACGGACACCGCGAATGTGAACATCTTCAAATGAATCAACAGAAATGTTGAAATCCATTCTCCAGGCATTGTGGACGACTGTAGTTACTGTGCGGAGCATCTCTTCGTACTTGGACCCGCTAAGGCCGAACTTCTCCTCTCCAAAAGATGCCACAAGGAATTCGACTCGTCCTTGACCGAAATCATACTCCAATCCCTTTTCTTGGAAACTCTTTACTTGTCTATCTTTTGCCTCTGATCGATTCAAGCAGTACACCTTGACGACAGAAGGATTGCTCAATAAGGCATGAAGCAGGTAATTCCCGAGCGAGCCGGTAGACCCTGTAAGAATTACAGTGTGTTGATCTGTCGTCTTGCGTGTACTAACTTCGCGCTCAGGCAGGTCATCCGTGTATTTCTGCACCAAGGCATCAATTTTTTCAGATCGCGACATCATGCTCTGCTCCGAATTGCTAGCGATACCGTATATAAACTTGGCCAATTGTTCGACAGTGGGATTGCCGTATATATGCTGAGCTGTGATAGCCCTAGATTTAGTCGATGGCCGACACGAACATATTGAACCGTGGAACGTTCGGCCTAGCTGCATTGTCTGCAAAGAATCGAGCCCCAGACTGTAAAAATCTGTCTGGTCTGAGAATGAGGAGAATCCAAGAGCGTCTGAAACCACATTTCGGACAAATTCCTGAATACCAGACAAATCAGCTGCTTCTGGTATTTGATACTCCATGATTTCATCGCCCTGTTTTGTATAAATATCCTCGATCTCCTTCTCATAGTCGCGAGTGACAAGTCGCCGCTGTGTGCTCCCTTTGGGTGTTATCTGAAACGGTTTGGCTTTAGATGCTACGCCGATCTTGTTTTTCATGATCCGTCCATGGGCTGGGTTGATACGGTTCGCATCTTGAACTGTTGGCCAAATTTGGGCGATCAAGTCCTCAATTGGACTGTCTTCACTCCACTGATTCCAATTGGGTTCAACAAGTAGAGCTGGTTGAAATTTGTTATTGCCTACAACAACAGCTCTCGCAACCAGGGCATGTCCCTCGATGATCTTCTCCATCGTGACTGGGTTGAACTTCTCCCCGTTACTGAGCGATACAACGTCATCTAGACGTCCACGCAGCTTCCACAGGTTTGGCTTGGTTGGATGCCGTGTGTACACATCCTTCGTATGATACTCGTCCAAATCAGGGAACGTGTGGAAGATGGGCTGTAGGAATGGCTCATAATGTCTGTGTATGACCATTTCATACAGGTCGTCATCCACTAGCTCCATCTCGATCCCATTGGTCGGCCACCATTCGAAATACTCCCAGTCTTCCTTATCTTCGGGAGCTAAGGAAAGTATAAAACCAGCTTCTGTCATTCCCATGAAGCCCGTCAGCGGGGTGTGTTCTCTGATCTTACGACCGACCTCAGGCGAGAGAGAAGAACCACCCCAAAACACGTATTTCAAGCTCCAGAGGGCTTCCATAGAGGTTTGTGATAGGGTCATATCTTCTAGGATGCACGGTGGTAGCAATATCGCCGTGGGCTTGGTTGCATTGAGCATAGAAGTCAAGAACTCAGTCGATAATGGTTTATCTGGGGCCACCACGCAACGAATACCGTGAAAGACAGATATGATCAACAACGAGAACCCCATGAGGTGAAAGAATGGCGCCGCAGCCAAGATAACGTCATCTTTGCTGAGTCGATCAGGTACCCCCGAGAAACGTTCTGGGGGGATAGGAACATAGGCGCCGGCATCCAGAGCACCAAAGTAGCCAAATGTCAGTTGGATAGGCTTCGGGATTCCTGTCATTTGATGAGGAACATCAGTTGTCGATCTAGAGGTATGGCTTCTTGTACCAGAGTAGGTTTGGTCATGGTTGCACATTTGTACACCTTAAATCCATACTATGACAGTCACTACTCACCAGTTGTACCAGAGCTGTGGGCAATAAAGGCCACATCATCCTTGACTTCTTCAAAAGTTTTAGCAAATGGATACGGCGTTGTAGCTCCCCGGAGAATCTCTGTTGAGGCTGGAATTTCCACGGTCGTTAAGTCAGGTCGAAGAGCCTTTATTTCCATTGCTCTCTGACCTCTCTCCGTACTATATGCCAGTTTCGAACAATTGGTGACTTCAAGGAGACGAAGATGTGCTTCATCTGAGTTCCTAGTCGATGAAAGTAGGGGCTAGCAGCTCCCTGGTTAGTATCAATTTGACGAAATTAAACTGATCCACCATCTCTCACCTTATAGCCCGTCTTATTACACGCCATTACCATCACAAGATAACGTATATCATTGGCACCGAGATAAGTCAATGTTTCCATGGTGGAGCTACGGCCAAAGGCCTCTACAATCCACCACGACATATAATTCACTGCATGAGCAAGCTCTCGGAAAGTCAAGTCAAAGAACCCATCCGAGATCTCGGAGCCCTTAGGCACAGCGCAGACTTTCCTCTCTGGATCTCGCTCAGCCACATCGTCGATGACCTGAACCATAAGCCTCTTCCCAATAGGGGCGATTTCATGCTCTGCCATGATGGAATAGTGTGCCAGTAATGGTAAAAAAAAAAAAGACTGAGAATTGAAGGTGCAAGCACTGGAGAGGGGGGGGATGTACAAACTTTTCATTGTTGTCAACAAGGAGAGGCAAACCTCCTGTTTAACTCAGCAATTTATCATCATTTTGATTGTCCATTTAGGAATGCCGCCTGCAAAGGACCAATTGGCTCATGCAAGCTGCAGACGCGGTTCTTTGTTTGAGGGCTTTTCGGCGATGCTCGGGACACGAATGATAGCATCTAAACTAGTAGCCACAACAGACACTAATAAGCACGTTGACGTATTGGGCACATTGCTATCTTTGTCAGAGATACCAATTGAATTGATAGGGTGATGTGAACCGATTCCTAAGATATCATACTACATGTCGGCGAGACACCTGACCAACCAAGCCAAGATATATTCATGCACTTTTCAAGGGAGTATAAAGAAAGGCAGCGCATGAAATGCTTAAGAGCCGCAGTTATGCATAAACCACGTAGCTGGAGGGTCCCGATTCAACTCTATAGTCCAATTGGCGTTGTCCGATGGGTTGCTTGCTCCAAACCACATCTGTGGAAAATTGGTCAGCAGGAAGACGGTCCTAAGTCTAGAAGTGGTCGATTTCCCCCAGTCTACTTAGCTTAGTTTTCTTTGTACGGAGTAGCAAACGCAAACCTGCAAGGCGTTATCTGCAAGGAAAACAATAGTTTGAGATCTTAGTATAGGACCAGTGTCACGTGTACGACCGTTTGCCACGCTCGCTGCGAGGAGTATAAAATCACCGGCATTTTTGCGAGACTTTCTACATAACCAGAGCACTTGGTTGAATAGAAAAATTTCTATTTCCATATTTCCTGCCTTTTTTCGTACACCGATTTGAGAACGCCAGATTTGCAACGGACACATCATAAAAGATCAACCCAATGAACACGTCCCAAAGGCCAGACCCCGAAGACATGCACTGTCTTGTCAGACATCAAAGTGGAACTGTACAGCCATAGCAAGCGACAAGAACATATAAAGAAGCCTTATAATTAAAATAACAAAAACACATAACGAAGGTTAAACTCGTTCAGATTTTTTAAAGGTTAACCTTCTTGGCTTCCTTCTGAACGAGCTTGACCAGCTCATCGTACACACTGCTAAAGTCCTCATCATCTGCTGATTCACTCTTCTTGCCCTTTGCGGCCGACTTGGGAACAACCATGGTGACACTGGTGGGGCGCTTTGTTGCGGCAGAGTTACCGAGCTCAGCTCGAGATGTGACGAAAACGTAGGGAATGCCATGGTCCTCACAGAGGACAGGAATATGCGAAAGGACATCCATTGGGGAGATGTCGGCAGCAAGAATCACAACTCCATTGGGAGTGCCGGTCGGGGCGTTAGGTGCGGGAACGGGAGATTTCCGGAGAGCCTTGACGACTTCCTTCACACCGCGCTTGAGGCACTTGTTCACGGCAGCTACAGTAGGATCATCATATTAGCGTCATTGAAACGAACTGGAAGCTTTACACATGACAATACGAATCATAGACGAATTTTAGATTGTAGAAGTGAAATTGGCTCGGTTTGAGGCACGAGGCACCATGCGCATCATCCGAAAGTGGGTTAACCTTAAGATTTAACTTACCCTTCTTCACACTCTTCAACACCTTCTTTGCCGACTTGTCTTCCACCAGAGGCTGGGCAAATGGCACGAGGGCGCCAACAGGGCGGACATCGACATCCATCACCTCAGTCTCGACATCGGCAGTGGCTTCCGCAGCGACAGCATTGTCAATTCCATCCAAAACCTTAGTCGTAAGCTCTTGCTCAACCGCATCGGCGAGAGCGGTCTTATCCTTCTTCTCCTTCTTGTCCTTCTTGCTCTTGTGGACACCCTCCTTCTCCGAGCGCTTTTCCTTCTTCTCGCGCTTGTCCTTCTTCTCAACCTTGTCCTTGGCCATTTTGAAGTCTGGTATCACCCGGGGGAATCGAACAAAACGAGGAGGGACAAGAGCGGCAATCGGAGGACGGTGGGCGTGGGGAGTAGTAGTTTATCGGTCACTTTTGGAGGCCGCAAAAATTCGAAATCTTTCAAAATTTCGGCGCTAATCCTTTCCGGGAACGCGAGCTTCTGGCGGGCGGTGAACGGTGCTGACTCATCCAGTACCGGATCGGGATGTTCTATTCGCCCTTCCAAAACAACAAGCCGGCATCGAATTGCTCCGTACGGCTATTCCTTCACTGCTTGCTTGACTCGGTCGAGTTGTGGGAGTCAACCTAAGGGAGCTTGAGGTAGCTTCTATCGGGCCCTCACTTAACTTCCATGACCTCTTTCACAATCGATTAATCATTGGTTTCCGTTAACTTGCATAGTCAAAGGTAAATAAGCAACATACCTTGCGAATCTTAAAACCTCAGAGGCACTAACGAGCTTTAGATGAACTCAAGTAGGAATTCACAGCTTTCTTGGGGCTCGCCACCACGGAGTGCCTCGCCACTATCGATTCCCCCGGCTCCAAGTCCTTTGCGACAGTCCATTCGCCCCTCCCAAGTTTCAAAGCCTGGTGAGCTCCAACCCTTGGCGGCGGATGATGCATCCCATACGACTAACTCCCTTACAGACACGGAAAAGGAAGAGCTGCGTGTCCAAGTCAACACTTTAAGATATGAACTGGAGAATATCAAGCAGGAGCGGGATTTGATGGTACTGCGCCATGAGAAAGAGCTTCGGGATGTTCAATTAAAGGCAGACGCAGACTTCAGGAAGGCACAGGTGTGTACAAATTATGGTACTGGGCAATCATAAAACTGACTGGACTTCCTCTGTAGGCTGCAGAATCTGCCAGTCACCGCGCCAATCACAAAAGCGAGTCTCTCGCCAAAGAGTTGAAAGAGGCTCAAGAAACAGCGCTGAACGAGAAAGGCGGCTTTGAGCGGAAGATCAGAAGCCTTCAAGATCAGAACCAAAGCTTACAGGATGATGCCGATGATACGAAAGCCCAGTTGCTGGACCAGGAGAGACAAGCAAAATATCAAATTAATGAACTAGAGACTATTCGCTCATCCCTCCAGCGAACACTCGAAGAATTGCAAAACGATCTCCAGAGCGCCAGGAATGACGTACAGAATACCCAAGAGAAGTTGCGTGAACGAGAAGCGGATGTTGCCAACCTGGAAACTGAGAATATACGACTGAAAGCCGAAGGAAGCGATGCAGAGACGGTAGCTGTTCTCAAAAGAGAGCTTTCAGAGCAGGTCAGCCATATCAGGAATTTAGAGACTACGAATCGGGAACAAAGTGCGGAGTTGCGGCATCTTCGAAAAGTGCAGAAAAACGTTGAAGTGGTGGAAGAGCAGAAGAAGTCACTCGAGAATCAGCTACAGTTGATGAAGGAGGTGGAATCCGAGTTGGGAACAATTCAGATCCAGAAACAGATGCTCGAAGACGAGCGGAGGTCATGGACCAGTCTTCTACAGGACAACGATGAACAGGTCGAGATCGACTCGCCAGAAGCAGTTGTGAAGGCTCTATTGCAGGAGCGGATTGAGAAAGCAACATTCGTTGATAAACTTGGCAACGTCGAAGCGCAGTTTCTGGAAAAAGACGAGCTGATAAGAAGCTTGGAAACCGAGAGGAGCCACCTGCGACAGGAAATTGAAAAGCTTCGGAGTAGCAATGCTGCAAATGGAGGAGCCATGGCCGAGAGCAGAATTCGGGCAAGGCTAGATCGCCAGCGGGCGCTCGCGGTGAAGGAGGTTGAGTATCTTCGCGCACAATTGAAGACTTTTGACACAGAAGAGGTGACAATGAACGCGGAACAAAGCCAATTCGACGAGCATAAGTCAGAGCAGATCGCCAATCTGGAGAAGATCGTTGATGAATACAGACTAGAACTGGAGAAAGCTCACGAGGAACTCTCAAAACGGGAGCCTACTGAACAGCAGGACGCAGAACCTCGGGGTGTTAAGCGGCCTTTGTCCCCTGCCGAGAGCGATGCGGAGAACGAGCGTCTTTCTATCTTGTCTCGGAAAAACAGGACATTGCAAGAGTCGCTCTCCAAGTCTGAACAGGCGTCAACTCTCCTACGCCGAGAGCTTGAAGCTACCAAATCCCAGCTTAAGTCTCTCAAAGCCAAGTCACGCACACGCGTTCTTGAGCTCCGTGATAATCCCACTGCGCAAGCCGAGAATCTCAAACTCTCCACCATCACAACCCTCAAAGCTGAGAACCGTGACTTGCTTGCCCAACTCCAGGGCGACCACAGCAGTGTTAAAGCTGTCCCCGTTAGCACCCTAGAGAGCCTAAAGCTAGAAATCCAAGAAATGGAGCGGGTCGTCGCAGATAAGGAGAAGCGCATGCGACGACTAAAGGAAATATGGACTGCCAAGTCATCCGAGTTCCGGGAGGCCGTTGCTTCCCTGCTCGGATACAAACTAGACTTCCTCCCCAACGGGCGTGTACGAGTGACATCTATGTTCCACCTCTCCCCCGCCTACAGACATGGCGACGGCGACGTCCCTTCTGACTCTCGAGGGCCCGGCAGCATGGGCAATGGCGAAGAAAACTCTATCATTTTCGACGGAGAGAACGGCACGATGAAGATTTCTGGTGGGCCGAATAGTCTATTCGCTATGGAAATCCGACCCCTCATCAAATTCTGGGTCGAGGAGCGGAAAGATATACCCTGTTTCCTGGCTGCAATGACGTTGGATTTCTATGATAAAACTACACGAGCTGCTCGGATGTAGTCGACCTTTCCAGTTCTTGTTTTCACCTTCTTTTCCATTGGTCTCTTTGGTTTCATCACCGATGTCAATGGGTATAGATCGGCTGTTTCATATGTTACTTTTAGCGATTCCCCGGCACAGAGGTGTCACTGTGTCATGTTTTATCTGATCATCAAGCCTGTATTACTATGAAGACAACCATGAATTTGAAATACAGTATCATCTTTGGTTTAGAGAAACGGTCATTAACGACGGCATTGCTGCCTTGATACCCAAATCGTCTGAAAAGCGGCACTGCTAAATACATACGTTGCTGGTATTTAGGGCATTAATATGCACCAGGCTATCCCACGGTGAGAACCTATTTACAGGCGAAATGCCATGCCTACTGTCCGGAGGGTGGCTATACACACAACGATTACTGCGACACAGGGAAGCAAGAGAGGGAAAGAAACGAAGAAAACGAACGTGACGAAATCAATGGACCGAGGAGACGATAGATATATACCTCGCACAAAAGGAGATAGGAAAATAGTCAAGAGAAGGGCAGAGAAAGACTGGCAGAACGAGAGTAACATACAAAGTCGTGGGAGTAAATTATGTGCTAATATGGCGGCAGGTAGTGTCAGCAGACAAACTTTTGGAAGGCGTACTATTCCAAAGAAATCCGACAAAGACAGTTACGGTGGTATCTTGAAACTGGAACGGTCCGGCGGGTTGCGATCATAATTTGTTCGTAGAAAGTGCAAAGGAATGTGCTGTTCTCGGGACACTGAGGTCCTGATTAAGGACCATCGGCTCTTTAAGGTAGCACAACAGTCTGCTAGGTAGAGACATATTTGCCTCCAACCAGCTTGCGAGCAGTAGGGACCTCTTTCCATGTGAGGGAGGGTTGAGTATCGTCATGTGCACCGGAGTCTTCGTCCGCAAAAGGATCAGGTCCTTTTGGCGTACTCTCCTCTGTTGGCGACGCGGCACTGATCCCCAGTCGCGAGCCAGCATCAGGAGTGTGGACCTCGAATTTTGCGTCGACTTTCCCTTTTCTTGGCCAACTAGTTGGCGTTGAGAATCGAACCAGCAACTTGCCGTCAGATCCAGTTTTAACTTCGAACTCAGGCATCTTCCAGGTCACTGCCGAGTGCTTGCGACGGAAGGACGCCCCCGTATTAGGATACATCACAGCACTCGTGGCATGGGCCACTTCTCGCCCTTCCTCAGGAGATGTATCCAGGTTCACCGTTAGAACTAGGTTCTTAAGGGTGATTGATTCTCTTGGGGAGGAAGATGTAAACGACGGATTCAAGGAATAGAAGATGATGACACTAGCCTGATGTTCCTCAATGTTCCATACAGGTTTGAAAATAACCGGACAGTAGGCGGAAGAGTCGGATGGGTCAACATGAAGTTGGTATTTGAAAGCCACTGTCGGTGAGGGGCGAGCAATTGTGGGAATATGTATGCTGTACTGTCCTCTCTTTTCATCCGATAAATCCTTATCTTTCTCTTCATTCACGAAATGAGGATTTGCAGCTACCTTCTCCAGCACCTGGAAGTTTTCTAAACGAACTGTGGTGTTCGCCTCGGGGGTTCCGTTGTATGCTAATGCAAGCTCTCCGATGACGGATGACTTGGTTACAACACCGTCGGAGAACCATGCATTAACCGTTTCAATGATAGACGCGTTCAGACCTGGTTCGTGGAGATCAGGGTGTGCAACTGCACCTGAGCTACCGTGCAAGGTGTGCCCCGAGCGAACCGAGGTTGTATCCGACAGAGCATGATCTTCTGTTGCAATGCTGGGAGAAGCCGCATGCTTTGATGGGAGACCCGGCGAAACCGGCATAGACACGTCAGACCCAGATGGTAGAGTGGGGACATCACTACCTTGCGGTGGATTAGGAATGAACACTGTGTTACGGACGTCACGCCGGCCGCGCAAGGTCCCTACATTGCGTCTCACACCACTCTGCTGGGCTCGCTGGATGGTCAGACCGTCAGCAAGGTGCCAAAGGGGCATGTCCATATAACACTCACCAGTCTCAACTGATTAGCCATATCGTCCATTGCTTGCTTAGCTTGATCTTCATCTTCAAATATAGGCTGATCCCGAATTGTTAGATTGATGCCAGCTTCCTCCATACTATAGATATGATTAGCCACTGATTTTCTGGGGAAGATTTGAGATTCCCATACCCAGCTGCTTCTCTCTGTGCACGAGTGATCTCATCAATAGTCTGAGGTGGTTCCGAGAATCCTTCGGAGTCGATCCGTGGCTGTTACGTGAAATTAATGGTCTGAAATACATCAGTCGTATCACTACAGCTTACCTGGTTTGAGTCACTGATAGCAAAACCTGTCTCAGCAGGGGGCTCTGGGGATGTTGTCCCGTTTGTTGGTACTGACTGAGTGGCCGGGATAGAGGTCATCGTACCGTGGCCTTCGTGATCATTGGTTTCGCTGGGGATGCGTGTAGCTTCATTGTGGCTTTCCTGAGTAGTCAATGCAGTACCCGGGCGTTCCTCATCCGGTAGTGACTCGGGGATTTGCAGGTCCCGAGAGTCTCCCCGTTTGAAAGACGCAAAAGGGCTGCGGTGTTTCTTATCCGAAAAGAACGCAGCCCCTCCTGAGGGTTGTATTATGCTCTTCCTTCTATTCATGACGGTACCCAATCGCTTGAGTCCGCCAAGGGGTGTGCTATGGCGGGGTTGGGGCTCAGGTGCTATACAAAAAGTAAGTATCATCGATAACGACATCCAAGACGTTTGAGAGACAACAGTCGGGTCGGTCAAAAGGACAGTACTTACCAGGTGGTGTTCTGACAGGACCAGAAGTCTCTGAGCGTTGACTAGCAGTGTCATCATGAAGGCGTGGAGGTGGTCCAGAAGGTGCTGCTGCAGGGGTAGGAGAGGTCTGTTGCCTCAATACAACCGGCCTTCCCCCATTGACCTTTTCAGCAAATGTTTTGATTTCGTCTGCGGTCTCCACATTGAGAAGTACATTTAAACAAGTTTCTGCCGCTTGACGGCAGCGCTCAACCTGATCCGACTCGTGAGTTTCCAGCTGGGTGAGCGCGTCTCGCAGATGGTTAAGTCGACTCTCGTCAGCCGCTTGGAGCTGTTCAAAAGCGAAAGGTGCCCTGGACTCCCATTCCTGCCTAACTCCTTCAGAGGCAGCAACCGCACCAGCCAGCTTATCTGCACCCTTCGGGCCTTTCTCTCTGGCTTTCTCCACCTTTTTGAGCGATGCTTCCAAATTCTTCGCAAGAGTTGCAAGATCGCTCTGGACTCCAGGCAAAGATGCCAATTCGCGGTTCTTGGTGTGGTAATCCCTTAGAGGGCGTTCCACATCTTCCTCGATCTTCTGTGCGAAGGTTTCGTGCGACGAGGCCACCATTTCCGTGGCATTGACGATACGTTGCCATGGTATCTGGAATATTCTATTTGGCCAATTGACACCACGTTAGAGAATTGGTACTCCGAGTGAGATATTCTAATGCGACCTGAGCTTACCCTAGTGCCGCTCCATTATCCAGTTGCTGGCGCGTCGCAAGTTTCCGTAACCCTTGGGCGTATGCTTCTTCGACGCGGCGTCGCTCCTGTTGCGCGGATCAGGATTAGCTTGCCCAATCCACGTCACTGAACTTGAAAGATGCCACTATCATACCTGCAACCAATCCGCGATGTCGGCATTGATCTTGTTGATGAGGCGAATGCGGTCGTTGAGAACACCGGTAGCTTGGCCTGGCTGCAAAGAGGCCTGGGGGTAAATATATCAATCAGCGAAGATCCTTAAGCCCGGTAGATCTAGATTGGGTCATTGGGAGGGGAAGAGTGTCTCGATCTTACCAGCAAAGCTGGATACTCCTGCCGTGAGAGATCCATCATTAAATACACATAGGTCACAGCTGTACAAGTAGATGAGGGGGGCGGCGCATAATAAGGTCCAGCCCGTAGAGATGCGAAAAAAAACCCGAAAAATGAGTGATTTGTTAACGAAAGAGTGATGTAAGTCCGAAAGACCAATGCAAGTCGGTAAACGTGCAGTACAGCTGCGGGATGTGGAGGAAGGAAGAGGAAGTGCTATGATGACGATGACGGGTTGCAACGCCCGGAAGAACTAAAAGCGGACCCGGACTCGGAAGGGGAAGCTAAACCGTATTGAGCTTAGACAGGCTACTTGTCACATGTCCCGCCGCCTTTCTGTATGTATCCACTAGTAAGAGAAAGTTCAGTGCCTGACTTGACTAGTATGGAGTAGAGCATCATGAGTCTAGAGAGTGAATTGATTGTTGCCTTCAAGTGCATTACAAGGATCCGTTAAAATATCTCTAGCCAGCTTGGCTGTAGCACTTCCTTACGTCTATTGAACAATATCTCTGGTGATTGCTATACTTGTCGCCGCGTTTAAGCAATGGCCGATTGGAAGAAAGCCCTTGGCTTCACAGATAGGTTAACAGCCATACAATCGTTGTAAGAGAAGACAACTTTGCACTCTGTACCAGGGCAATGCTCATGCCTAACCCTTAGGACAACGGCTTATCAGCGTGCTTCGTCGTCTGCTGCATTTGCAGAGGCGCAGTCTCAGGCAAAGAGCTTTGAGACCGAAGCTTATGATCAGGCCACATCGAAGGTATGGGCTCCTAGCTATACGCTTCATCTTCCGTCCGCAAATATTTACTCAGTCTTGTTATACGTAGGAAGAATATGATCAATTGTGCCAGACGGCCATTGACGCAGCCGAAGCTACTGGTTCGGCTGCTCCTGTAATTAGTAGCTCCGATCAGGTACAGAATAAGAAAGGGGTAGAGGACTGGCCTGCGGGCCAGGATATTGGACCATACAAGGCATGCCTTCATCATTTCGACGGGCTTCATTCCACTATCTACAAATCCAGGAGAACAGATGGGACCCTGGTTGCTGTGAAAGTTACTGTCCCCCATCTTTTAGTACCACCACACGACGCGAAGTGCGAAGTTCAGCTCTTGCGAGAAAGCGCTGGAACTTATGTGATACCTTTACTTGAAACGCTGAAACTTGACGGAGGACGACTGATTCTAGTGTTCCCCTTCATGAAGCATGACTTTGAACATCTATTGCGACGAGGCATGTTGACTGCTAGGCAGACCAGATCTCATTTGCGCGATTTATTTCGGGCCTTGGCGCACGTCCATGAGTTGGGAGTTATACATCGGGACATAAAACCTTCGAACATTCTTCTGGACTCACCCGATGGACCAGCCTACTTGGCAGACTTTGGGATCGCTTGGAAGGAGGGACATAACGAGACTGAACCAACGGATAAAAAGATTACGGACGTGGGAACCACATGTTATCGACCTCCTGAGATATTATTTGGTTATAAAGGATATGGCACAGCGCTCGACCTTTGGGCGGCTGGGTGCGTGGTCGCGGAGGCTGTGGCTGTAGGGCACAAGCAGCTTTTCGACTCTGGGCCTCTGGGCAGCGATCTCTCGCTTATCCAATCTATATTCCAGACCTTGGGTACTCCTGACGAAGAAATATGGCCGGTATGCCATGACCCCTGCTGAACACATTTCGGTTGGCGCATACTGATACGGCGGTAACAGGAAACCGAGAAGTTTCCAGACTGGGGCAAGGTGGAATTCTATAGATATCCTTCCAAGTCGTGGGATGACATCCTCCGAGGGGCGTCCTCGAAAGGTCGAGACTTAGTAAGCCAACTGGTGCGTTATGAGAGTAGCCAGCGCATTTCTGCTACACAGGTAAGCTTCCCAGGAGTTGAGAACTGTTATAGTCACTCGAGACGGCCTCGGGAAATTTTTGTACCCGAATCTAATACCTCGATAGGCTCTCAGACATCCCTATTTTTCGGCGTGTTAACGGCCGTTACGGAAGACCATCAATCACATGTTACGGGCAGGAAAGATAGGATGAAGAGAAGGGGAAAGAAAAGACCCCATGGGTCCACTGGTTAAGTATTCATATGATGGGAACTGTGTAAGTATAATGTATGACGGTCTGCCGTTAACAATCATGCCGGGTTCCACCGGCATCTTTTAGGCGTTTCAGTATTCTTGACGGCTCAAAATCGAGAGATGATCAGGCCTAAAAAGCGAGGACGGTCGGCACTGACCGACAGAAAAAAAAGAAAAGCCGTCGGTAAAACTCCACCTTCAATGAAATGCCAACTACGTAGTTCGCCTCCGGGGAGACCCTCATCTTCAACGTGGATTACATGTACTCACGTGACGATTGCCTGATGGGTTGTTGTGCGATGAGAAAGAAAAGAAAAGAAAAGAAAAAGAATGATTAAAGATTCAGGAACCCCAGTTTAAGGTCTTCCTGCGACCCACATTCTTGCAGAAACTCTGCCTTGCCCCTTTTCTTCCATGCTTTGCTTCATGCAAGTGAATGAATTGTGAATTGCATTGATCTGCTCATCCCCCCTGTCAACTCATAACTTATCTTGTTGTATGAGAGAAGAAATCCGCCACGCGAGGCTGAAACGATGAGAGCAGACTCAGCAAAGAGGATCAATGCAACGTCTTTCGGGGATAAGTGGATGCCACTAGGAAAGGTCGGAGGAGCGAGAGGCTTGGCTAATTAAAATCACGGGTCCCGTTATATTGAACAGTGGTCGATCTTCTCCAGATTAATCCGAATAAGCGACCTCGGCCACTTGCCATTGCATTGTTCGGATTTCGATATATGTATGTCTGTATATGTAAGCATTCTACGGAGTATTGTACCACGAGAAGCACGGGGGGCCATCTCCTTTTGTTTGGATGCGGTTCGTGGGGACAGGAACAGGTATAACAAAAAGCCAAATCGAATAAAAGGGGTGGGGGAGGACAGAATGGATGGGAAAAAAAAAAGTTCCCAATTATAGAGAATTTAAGATGATTGGATGCAACGTCCATGTTGCGGTACGATACCAATTACTAGTACTAGTAGTACTGCCCGTCAGCGCAAGGACGCTCGTGCATGGGGATCGAGTTGTGCTCGAATAACAGTGGCGGGTGACTCGGCATGGCCCTCGTGTCCGTATTTACCGTCAGATAACCAGGCACCGTACAGCTCAATTTCCCATCTGAGCCAGTGAGAACCAGTAGCAGCCGGCAAATAGTGGGGTAATCGGCATGATTCCCCGCCCCAGTGGGTTAGCGTCGTCGGACCAATACCAGCGGATACCAGACCCTGATTGGGTGGGTTCCCCCTCATTAACCTCCATAAGCTTTGATCTCATTTCGTTTACTTGTGGCCAAGGGGACCACCGCGGTAATTACCGGTATTTTTGCGAGGTAGGGTTAGTATTCAACAGGTTTGGCTGATTTCCCAAATATCCCCCCAATCTGTTGTCGTTCTTCTCCTCTTACACTCTTCTCCAAGTCTTTCTTTCGTTTCTACCCAATCGCCTGGGAATCCCGCACGCTGGGTTCCCTTCCTTTCGTTCACATCGTACGGCCTGGAAGCTCGTTGTCCTTCTTTTATCGACTTGCGCCGGCTAGGAACCAGCCTCTTCAGCGCGATAGCTGACACTTTCCATTCTTTATCATTCTCACGTTTACATTCCTCATTCCTTAACGCGCTTGCGCCACTTTAACTTTCAGACGCGGCCGGCTCTTCTGGCGAGATTGAATCAAAGCCAAATCTACTCGCGTGCATTTCCTGGGCAAGCCCCCATACATTCTTTTGAACTATATCAATTCTACAAGTCTACAAGTACAATCGGCAACCACCACGCCATCTCAAGTGTCGTGGCCTTCCTGGGGAAAGTGAAAGGGACGACGAACTATCCAATCTTTGTGCCGCCAACAGCATATGTCCCCCTGCTCTGTCGTTTGAGCCAAATTGGACCTGGGTTTCAAGTGGATGATATCTCGACCTCTGGTGGATTAAACGACACAAGCCATGGTTCATGCCCATAATCACAACCATGGCCCCAGCCTGGAGGCACGGAGTCCCGACCATGACGATAACGGACAAGAAGTGACGGTGGTTTATGTAACTGCTTCCGCAGACTTTGATGGTCCTGTAGGTGGTTATGTGACAGGTGAAGACCCAAAAACAAAGACTGCGGCTCCCACAGTCGGTGTTGGTCCTGCCGTTCAACAAAGTCGCACATCTACAAAGGAGGAACCAACTACGACTGAGAAACCAACAAAGAAAACTACGGCAGTGGAGACGAAGCCAACAGCCACCGCCAAGATCGAGACGACTGAGACCACCAAGGAACAGCCGACTAAGACGGAACGGACTACCAAGGCAACTGAGAAAGAGACATCCACGGCCGATCAGAAGAACACCCCTACCGCAATGACTACCTTCTCAACAGCTACCTCCTCTACTTCCTCCTTGTCCAATACTGGATTGGAAAATGCTGCTGCCACGCATTCGTCGTCTTCGGATAAATCAGCTGCTTCGTCAACCGCTCTTCCTGGAGCTTCTGGATCTGACGGCCTCACAGGAGGTGCAAAAGCGGGCATTGCGATAGGTGTAATTCTGGGAGTCGGCTTAATTGCGGCTCTCATTTTCTTGTTCATGCGCAAAAAGAAGCAGGGCCAGAAAATTGACGAAATAGAGCCCGAAAATGAGAAAGCATTTGCTGCCAGCAGCGTAGCACCTCCCCCTCCTCCGCCAAAGTTTGAGCCGATGACTCCTACCAACCCACCGCAGCTCAACGTTCGACCGGTGACCCAGTTTGCACCCGATCTCACCCCCTCTTCCACAGGCGCTCTCTCTGCGGCTGGTGCAGGCGCAACTCTTGGAGCAACTGCCGCTGCATCGCGCAACCTCACGGAACACGCCTCACCACCCCACACTCCGCAGTCGACTGTAGGCACCTCGGATCCTTTTACTGACCCGGTGAACCCCTTCAGTAACCAGGCGGAGGCACCATCCCCCAATGATGTGGCCAGGCCGATAACCCCTCCAACTGCCCCTGAGACCATGACGCCTCAAAATCCGGTTCCTGCTGAAGCCGCTGTGGGAACAGCTGCAGCGGCTGGAGGTGCCGCAGTTGCTGCAGCTGCCTCCAAGTCTACCGAGAATGATCATCCTAGTCAACCTGAAAGTTCCGAGCCGAAGGCTGATTCTCAGCCTGAACGTGCGGAAACGAGCCCTGTCAATGCTCCAGACGGCAATGGAGCAACTGGTCCTAGTCCTCCTGTTGTTGCTGCAGTCCCTGCCTTTGGCCCTTCTGAACAGGGTCCACCTCCCCCTCCAGCTCCTACCAATGTGCATCGCGTACAGATGGACTTCACTCCTTCCATGGAAGATGAATTGGAGCTTCATGTCGGCCAGCTTGTTCGGCTTCTCCATGAGTACGATGACGGGTGGGCTCTCTGTATCAGAATGGACCACTCACAGCAAGGTGTGGCCCCTCGTTCATGTCTCTCTTCTCGCCCTGTGAAGCCTCGAGCTCGACCACCTCCGGGGGCTGGCCCCGGCCCACGTGGTCCACCAATGATGGGACCCAATGGCCCTATGCCTCCTGGTGCCATGCCCAATCCTCGTTTCTATCCACCAGGTGGACGCCCAATGTCTCCTGCTCGCCCGATGTCCCCAGCGCGTCCTATGTCCCCAGCACGTCCTATGTCTCCGGCTCATCCTGGCTATGTTGGGCCTCAGGCACCGCGTCCTCATCCACAGCGCCCGATGCCCCCTGCTCAGTTTCCCCCTGCTCCCCGATCATTCTCGCCAGGGCCAGGCCCTCGACCAATGCCACCTCGCTCGATGAGCCCGGGTCCTTATGGTCCCCCAGGCATGCAGCGACCGGAGATGCCTGTCAACCAGCGACAACGTAGCAACAGTGCTGGTGGACCAGTCCCACGCACTGCGGGGTCACCAGGGCCGAGTCCTTTGGCTGCTCCTAGAACCCCACCTCCATCAGGCGCGCTGCCAGCAATCCCAAACCTGGCCCCAGCGCCCGCTCCCGCCCCGGTCGAGGCTCCGGCCCCGGAAAGCAACATGCCACCCCAGTGAGCTATGGGCGTTCGCGCTAGACCATGATCGTCGATTTTCACGGGGACAACGGCTGGCATTGTCGCTAATATGTACGAGACTGCTATGATATCACGTGCTCCTGCAACGAAAGGGCTCTATCCAAAGTCACCAACGCCTTATGTCCCCGCTATCGACTCCCCAAGTTTGTTTTTTCTTCTTTTTTTTCTACCACCTGCTTTAACTTATATTCTGTATGACCCTTCCGTCTCATTCGCAGACCACTTTCATGAGGATTTGTCTGTGTTCTCTTCCGTCTCTTCCTTCACTGCCAAGTGCCTGCACATATCTCACCTGACGGAATATACCCAACTTTGTAAGATTTCTTTCTATTGAATCATGAAACCAGAGAATTTTGGATTACTTTATGTGATTACCCTATTTCTTTACTACAATATATTTTACCTGCTTTAACCTTTCTCCGATGTCTACGTTCGCATCTTATCCATTCAAAACGAACAGTGAACCGTGATGGTATATGCTCTCTAATATCTGTGTTGATGTCAAATAAAGAGCCCGAAAATAAAGGAGAATAATAACAGTGTATAATCGTATAGTTCCCCTTGCTAATGTAGTTCATAGCCCTTCGCTCAGTCCTTCCACCCTGCATAAGAACCACAAGTATCTACTATATCTATGTGATGTAAAATAAACCCGTACTTTTAAAACCCACAAAATCAAAGTAGTACAAAGACTGCCAGCTCAAAACTAACATGCAGTTGCAATGATATGCTTGTATTCATGCCACTGTCAAAGCAACGGAAAATATAAACCATACTCCCAGAGAAATGGTCGTTATCTGACCTAAAGATGCGGAACTCCTCCACTTGCCAGAAGAAGATTAACGATGCTAATGATACCTTCTCCTAGGATCAAACCAGACGCCAGAACCACGACAGTTGAGGATGCCGCATCAGTGTCTTTTATAGTTTGTCCGGGCGTGGGTCCTGCCGCGGGATTTCTGGTATCTGCGCCCTGGGGCTGTCCCTCGTTGGCTAATTGAGTGGGAGGTTCAAGGTCCTGAGCCTTGGCGTGCTTTCGAGACCACCACCAGGAGATCAGTCCGCCAATGGCTCTAGCGAGGGTAAAGGAGGGGACGTTGAAGATACCGACGGCGACGGCGATACCGCCTGGAATATATGATCGCCACCAGGCTGTTGCGTCGCGTTTACCGCCGTTGGCGATGCTGGACGTACCTACCATACGCAGAATAGTGATGACCACGAAAACTAATCCGGCTATCGAGGCGGCTTCCCATGCCATCGGGGGGAGACCTTGGCCCGTGACCAGGCGGGCTGTGAAAATCCAGACGTATGCTGTTGGGGTCTGAAACATGGGACCCGGGACCTCGTAGACGTTCACGTACATTTTGTATACTGCTGTTGATAACACGGCGCCGACTAGACTGCCGATCATCTGGCCGTAGAACTGGGCTTTGGGGCTTGCACCCAGTAAGTGGCCAGTCTTCAAGTCTTGCATCATATCTCCGGCCTGTAGGGCACCGGACTCGGATACTGCGCCAGCTAGAAGGTTGGTGACTAATGCAGTGCGCCGGGAAAAGTGGGAGGCGGGGGTTGCGAGAGAGAAAAGTAGTTGCGTTAGTTTACTAATCCCAGATACTGGGTTCAGGTCCGTCTCGCCGAGGGCACGGACACCCATTATGGATAGAAGAACAGCCAGCAGCGTTGCAAGGCTGGAGAGCAATGGAGACATGACATCACCAAAGACGAAGTGCATGCAAACAACGTTCAATATCAGTGTCAGAGGCAGCAAGATGATCACTGTTCTTGTAGAGATAAGTTGAGATGGAGGGGCATCTTCCTCATCAGTAGCTTCAGCGCGCCTTCCTGCTAGCAAAGCAGGGTGATGGCTTGGTATGGAGGATTCTTCGGAGATAGGGCTCAATGCCGAGTAGCTGATATAATCATGGCGATGAGATTCTCCTGAGCCTTGCGGGGAAACCCGACGCCAAAGACGACTAGAGACGAGCTTAGCCTTCAGTTTGGGGGCATTCTTTACAGCTGGTTTGAGCACTAGCCAGCCGAGGCTAACGACCGAGTCAGCGAGCATAATGGCCAGAGAAACCCATACGATCCAGGCCTTGCTTCCATCATCCCAGCTATCCACAGGACCAGGAGCCCAACCGCGGGCTTTGGCAAATGGGGACAAAATACCCCAACCTAAAACAGCACCAAAGAGCATATGCATACAGGTGGAAGGTCCCATGATAATTCCTTGCCCAACATATGCTGGTGATGGATTGAGAGTCCATAGCCAATTTTGCGCTAACGAAAGTCCGAAAATAGGAATATCACGAACTTGAGGGACAAAGTATGAAAACAACGTCTGCATTTATTAGCACATGAGCTCTATGTCAGTATGAGGAGGTAGTATTGATTCTCACATAAATACCAGAGACTGCGAACGCGCCAACCAAGAGGCGCATCTTCGACCTCCAATCCTTTTGATCACTGCTCTCCTCTTCCAAGGTCGGTTTCCTCAGTAGGATACCGCTCTCCTCCGATACACGAGAAAGAATAGGCGCCTCCTCCTCTTCATCTCTCCCCACACCCATATTATCACTCAGCCTGCCCTTTCCTTTCTCGTCACTCTGTCCGCTTCCATGAAGGACTCTCAGCATCAACGCAGATGCTGTACCGCTAGGGAACTTGAGCTTCTCGCGAACAATGACCTCTTTTCGCAAGGGAACGGCAAAGACAACACCGAACAAGCATACCCCAAGACTCCAGATAACCAGCTTCCAGAAACTTAGTTTCAGCGGTCCACCCTCTCCAACGCCTCCGTCGCCAGAGGGCCCGTCTTCACCGTCCCTTATAAGAAACTCCAAGGCAGGTATAACACCAACAAAGCCACAGCCGAGTGGCATTGTTCCAACCGCCCCTGCCACCGTCTGAATGAGGACATTCTCGATGGGGGTAAACGGATAAGAAAGATGCTTGGAGAGCACTTTGAAGACCGAAAATCCTATCAATGCCGACGGCATTGCCATTGTACTAATCCATCCTGTTTGCAGTCCAAAGTATGTGTTCGAAAATGTGATGAGGGCGCCGATAATGAGGCCAACCAGGAGGGATCTGGGTGTAAAGCTCTGGGCGGAGGTGACCGGCGAGCGTTCCGGTACAGAGGTCGAGAGAAACCCAGCATCGGCATTATCTAACCTCTCACCAGTATAACCGTCAGAATCTCTGAAGCGCGATCCATCCCCAGCCGCCATATTCACCGATTGAGCACCTTTAGAGGCGTTGTCCGGCATATTGATAGTTTGGTAGTCCATCGAGTCGACCGCAACACTAACCCCTCAGCCCTGCATTCCAGATACCACCGTCACAATTGAGATACAGAAAGCTTCAACAATCCATAACGCAAATGGCAAGGATATAGACAAGTAAATAAGAGACGAGAAGGGAGATGGCAGTGACAGGAGTGGGTGATGATAAATCACATTGACGATCACGAGTCCAGCCACACCGATGTGAATGACTAAGCGCCGGCGATAAGATAAGCCTCCCCCGGATTGGTGAGGATTGGTGATGTCACTTTACACCGATAAGACAGCTTCAATTATCTACTTTATTATGGACATCTCTATACCACGACATTGTACCGATTCCCTGTGAACCATCCTTCCACGGCATCTTTGAACAGCTTCGAATAACCTTGAGCGGTCTTCTGTGCCAACCATGCTAAATGGGGCGTCACCACCAAATTTAAATCCTCCGTGCCCTTCGCCAGCAAAGGAGAGTTATTAGGTCCAGCAGGCTCCTTCACGCATACATCGGTTGCTGCTCCAGCAATTCTGTTCTCTCGCAGAGCTTTAACCAGTGCCTCTTCATCTACAACACCACCCCGAGAGACGTTGATCAGAATGGCATGATGGGACATGGCTTCCAACTCTGGAGTCGAGATAAGGTTCCGAGTAGTCTCCTGCAGCGGAACCGCCAGGAAAAGTACCGTGCTCTCCTTGATCACTGTATCGAAAGGTGTCCTATCTTCACCTTCGGGACCAATAGAACTACCAAAATTCTTACGTCCAGAGATCAAGACTTTCATACCTAATCCCCGGGCAAGATTGGCGATCCGTTTCCCTGTACACCCCGTCAGAAATACTTGGCGTAGAGAAGGCTGCAGTAAAGCATGTCATTTGAAATGTACAACATACCCACGCCCCCATTTCCAATAATACCCACCACTTCATCTTCACACGTCAAGGGAGGATCTCCGTATTTATCCAGATACCGAAACATAAGGATCTGCTTTTGCCATTCTCCTGCCCGGGTTTGGGCATGCATATCCGCGAGCCTCCGTCGCGTCGTAAAGTAGAGACCCATGGCATGCTCAGAAACAGCGGCGATGTTTGCCCCTGGGCAATTAGTCACAGCAATGCCCCGTTTTCTGCAGACTTCAAGGTCGACACAGTCGGTGCCAGATGCCACGATCACAATGAGCTTGAGATGCGGAGACTTCTCTTCGGAGAGTGCGATCGCGTCAACGGGGAATGCACATAAGACCAGAATAGAAGCATCGTAAATTCTTTCATGGAGATTTGCTAGTGTTGTTTGGGGGTACACTGTCTTTGTGTACGTATACGGCTCGGGAAGGTTGAACTCTGGGATCCGGACAAAGTCGCCTTGCAGAACGACCATGTGGTGGTGGTTTGGCAATTGTGGAGGGCTCATCTTTTGCTTGCTTGATTATCTTACTGCTATGAATCACTTGGTGTGTTATTTGCGTTGTCAATGTCGACTAAAGGACCGAGATTTACAACTCGAATTTATAGGTTCGGGAACCCCACGCATAAATGGTCACGCACACGCACGCCCTAAGGCTGACATTTCTCCGGTGGGTCTGATAAGCAAACAGTTAAGTCGTCGTGCGGAGTAGTAACCATAAATGCCAGATAATTTTAATCCCTCTCCTTTTTTAAGCATATCTGGACGGCGTAAAATATTACCTGGTAGTTTTGTGGTAAACATATGGATAATGTGGCTGCTTCGCAGTATGGCCACTGTCGAGGATGTATGTACCTGAGTCCTTCTAGAAATATATATATACGATACATCCCTAATTTAGGCCTGCTATTGAGAAACGGTAGACCACCTACCTCTCATCAAGCATTTACAGGAGAGCTCTCTGTTTGGGGGTCCGGAAAATCCCTTCGAAGTATTTTGACAGCCCCTCAACGTCTTCTAAGTCCCCAATCCATCCGATATATTGATCTGGCCTCAGGGCAACAACGGCACCTTTTAGTCGATCAACTCCCCACTTCTCATATACCCTTCCGTCACACTGCAAGTCCCAATGGCATTTCTCATCACCCCATATTTTATCATACTTCCAGCCGTTATCGTCATCGAAAGGCCGTAGGGCCTCGGGGAAGTCAAATAATTGCACATCCTCCAAGGGCGCACTATGAATGGTAACCACATCAATAGTCGCATGAAGCTTCGCAGCCTTGCGTGAAAATCGCCGTAAAACCGAATCAGGGGATGCCAAATACTTGCCGAAGGTCAGCACCCGATGCTTCTGTTCCTCTGCTCGTACATCACCAGCGAGGAGCAAAATACGGAAGCGACCATCGCTCTGAAAGACCCGGGTTGTCCACCGGGTTATACCATCAGCTTGGTTGCGAACCTTGGCTGAAATGAGTTTTTCTCCCGGTGACAGGTTTTTGGCTATTTTCTGCCCGTTTTTATGGACTAGCGGACTGTCTCCATAATGGGACAAAAGGCCTTCGGCAAATGGCTCCACCGAGTCGAGGACCTCCTTCATGGCTTCGAACTTTGCGTGGGCGTCCGGAGGAGGAGAGCCTCCCTGTTGCTTCAGGAACAGCGGCGACCAGCGGCGATCGAAATCTACGAGCATCTCAGCGAGCCGGCGGCGCTCGGGTTCATATGTGTCAAGGATGGAGGCATGGGCTACCCCTTTTGCGACGAGGGCCACTTTCCAGCCGATGTTGAAGCCGTCCTGTAAACTTATATTCATGCCCAGTCCTACCTTCGGGGAATGGTTGTGGACTGCATCACCAGCGAGATATATGCGGCCTTTGGTGAAGTTCTGGGCAATTCTTTGACCAATCTGATCCAAATGTTTAGTACGATAGTACTGTGAAGATAAATCGACACAAATGGCTTACCTGATATGTTGTCCACCAGTCGCAGACCTTGAAATCAAACTGAAACGGCTTCAGCATCTGTTGCACCTTTTCTCGCATCATGTCCAATGTGATGGACGATCGATCAAACCGCCCCGAGGAGATGTCGACCTCTGTTAGTGGGACGTAGAAACGGACCAGCTGCCTCTCTCTTGGAATGACGAGGAGTGCTCCGAATTCACTTGACACCGTCGCCGCTCGGCGCACATCGGCTGGCCCTGGATTAGTTATGTAGTTCGTGTTGTAAGTGAAGCTATTGACTTACGAAAATTGGTGATAGGAACCACATCCAGGACACCCCTGTGGTGAATCCGTCAGTCACGAGAAAGCCTAGGATAGTTGAGGAAGACGGTACCATATGTGCTCGGTTGTGGAACCTGTGAAGGGGATATCCAACTGTTTCCTGGTCCAGCTGCGGCCACCATCACAACTGATGAGATATTTCGTCTTAACTATCTCAACTGTGCCTGGCTCATGCTTTCTTTCCGGGGTGAGGTCTTCTACGTCATCCGGTGCTACATTGCCACGAGAAAGAGACTGCGAGCCACCATAAGTTGAAGCAGCGCCTAGCTCTTCTTCAGTGAGTGTCCTCAGCTTAACCGTGATCGGGTATTCTTCATGGTTATTCTCGAGGCTTGCATCATACTCAAGCGACTCGGCAGCGACACCTCTCTCGACCACAAGGTTGGAGCTGTCTTTGATCGCATCGAGGATATAACGCTCGATTCTTCCTTGACTCAAACCATGCATGCGATAGGGCGCACTGTCGAGGCTTTCACTGCGAACCTGTTTTGTTCGCTTCAGATTTCCATTCTCGTCCTGCGCCTATTTGGAATGGTATATTAGTTACGCTGCCCACCCCACAGGACCAACGACGAGAGATGGAACGGACCCAGAAGCAGAACTCGGTGATTTCCACACCTTCATGCAAGACTCTGTGCTGAAACCCCATGCTATCAAAGAGCTCCAATGTTCCGGCCCTCAACCCATCAGCATGGCCACGGAATACCTTAGTGGTACGCTTGTCAACGATACGAGCATTGACACCACAACGAGCCATCCAATATGCAGCGGCTAGGCCAGAGGGACCAGCACCGATGATAAGTCTAACCAACAGTCATCAATATTCCGAAGAAGCAAAAATCCAGGCCTTCCCAGCGAACTTACACATCGGTGTGAGATTCGGGCACAGGAGCCATGGTGAAGGCAATTGAGCTTCGATCTGTGCTGGTAGACGTTTGGTGTTGTCTGTTTGGATTTCTGCCTACCCGCTATCGCGGAATGAGCTTTTATATCTTCCAATCCATTCTGCAATTGACTTGACGTCTATTAATCGGAGGTATTGTAGCAAGTCTCTCAGTCGGCAGAGAGATGTTCCCTCGTTCCGCTTACAAAGCGATAATTGCGTGGTACAAAGTGCGGTCTAAAGCAGACGTGCATGAGGCCCACCAGTTTCGACCAGTCGAGTTCACCAGAACATGACACGTAATCTCACGATAGACCCATATGCAATGCTATTGTCTCTTTGAAGTTAGAAAACCAAGCAGACATAATACAACCTAGTTAGATGGAGTAGCCACTAATGGCAGGAGAGTCCCAAGGGCCAAGAGGTCTAGTTCTGCAAATCCTAGGGCGTGCATATATTTCTCCGGGGTATATCCAAGGGCAGCTCTTGCAACACTCGACTAACTACAACGGGGCATGTTTCTGGTCTAATAGCGAGAATTACTCTGTAGTATCTCCATATGTAGATCGCACTCCCCGCAGACTTTATTATGTTTTGTTAGGAAAGTGTCAAATAGCGTTGGCGAATAGAAGTGGAAGAAGGTGACTGGACTATGATTTTCTAACAGTGGCGTTGACATTCTCATGACCCTCGTTACGTTGCAGCCAAGCTCTCCGTACCTCCTTCTGTCCAGAGAGGATCAGACTGAGTGGACTTCATTGCTCCGTGTTAGCAATCATCGCAAGTTATAAGTTGGTGATAGCAGTGTCGATGGTTGAGTACGGTGCAAGGCTTTGGAGATATAGACCAAGTGAATCGATGGTTGGTATGCCATCTCTTATAGTATACCTCATTAGCTAAGAACCCTTCTTTCTAAAATCCGTAACGACCGGTTATAATCTCTTGAAGTAATACAAATGTGGCTAGAAATTTGTCCCGGCGACTCAGGGAGATTAGCCCTAGAAGGTCATCTCAGACATTGTAGGAGTGGTTTAGAACAAAAGGGCTTAATTCTCAAGGGCTAAATTTTCCGCCCCAAATGAGCCATATTTGAGACTGTTCGAAGGATATGCAGGTACGTATTTAGGGGTATCGTGGAAATAAACTGTAGAAGTCAGACAAATTTACGGAGGCATTTTAGGGGACATAGTATATTCCTTCCGCACTCAACCTCGGATAGCTTCATTAGAAGGAACAATTGACTTGAAGAAACTCCAGTCACTCTTGCGTATTACTAACCAAATTTAAGGATTGTTTATTTCGACGGGGTTCAGGCCGCGTGCCCTTGCATAAGGGTAGCGCGATCCTTGCTTGAGTTTAGAGACGCGGAATGACAAGTAGGTCCGCTGTGTCATGCAAAGGTTAATGATCTCCAGGGTACTCAGGCAAGGTAGTTCGAGTTCAGTCAAGGATTAAGTATCCAGGATACATTCCAGTGAATGCTTATAGAAGTTGCCAATGTATATCCAGGATAACCAGTTCAGCTCCTTCATTCCTTAGGAGAGCGGACAAGCCAAGAAAAATGGAGATCGTTATTGCGATGGAAAAAAGGCGCGTCGCTGGGACATATAAATAAATCTTGAGCCATCTCTGAGAATACTCATCCTTTTCAGCACAGTTGTTGACATGAAAAAGAACTCTTGAAGCACATTCAGTGTAACAGAGACCCAACACCTTTGACTTCGACTTTCATTACCTCCGCAAATAACCACAAAATGCACTTCTCCACGGTATGTACCATAAAAAAAAACAGTCTTGAACTTTTCAATAGTGCCAGTGCTAATAAGTAGAATAAAGCTCTTCGCTGCCTCTCTCGCTCTCGCCCCAGCCGTCTATGGCAAGGGCCTAAGCGTAGTCGAAGTCGAGGTTCATGGCCACGACAATTGTCATGTTGGAAGACTACCTGGAAACAACCTCGAGGAGCACGAGACCTTCGACGCCAAGCCGAAGAAGGTCTTCCCGACTGAGAAGTCCTGCGTTAAAGTCAAGCTGCCTGACCATGACGAAGTCGATACCTATTCCTTTACTGTCACTGCTCTCAATAAAAAGAGTTTCCAGGAGTGCCGCGGTCTGGGTGTCTACGCGAACAAGGAATGTGCCGGCAACCCTGACTGGGTTGTACCTTTCCACCCTGGAGAGCTCCATGCCTCCAGTCCTTGTCTCCCTGAGTACGGCTTCGAGGACTACGTTTCGCTTCAGGTTATTTGCAATGACGACCCAGTCCATCGCGATGAAGGAAACCACGAGGAACATGGAGAGGGAAACCAAGAGGGCAAGGATGAGGGAAACAAGGAGGGAGAAGGAGAAGGAGAAGGAGAGGGAGAGGGAAGCAACAAGGGGGAGGAGAAGGGCGAGGGTGAGCAACCCCACCGTGAAGCTGAGAAACCTGCCACTCAAGATAAAAATTCGATCCTTGGTAAATTGGGCTTGTAAGCGGTTGTGTGTTGAGGAAAAGTACTGGATACTCTTCATCGGTGTGTGGGTGATCGTGGATGATGTATCATTATATTACTTTCACAAACGGCTTTTATTTCCTAATACCTAATATTCTTTTTTCTTTCACTTCTGTATGCAGTTAAACAAGAAGATTTGCTTTCCAATCAAGCTTTGTGGGTGGTACCAAGCCAGTACGCCACATTTCTTAAACGTCCCTGATCCACGGCGCCATACATACTAAGATATGTACACGAAACAAGCACATGCGTGTCATGCCAAGTTGCAAACCCGACAGAGGTGCCGTTAGTGTGGAATGAAGCGACTGGAATGTTTGCACGTTTCTATTGCTGGGAGCCAACGACAAGAATGCAGAGCGGCGGATGCTTTTTCCCATGACGATGAAACGTTTAATGGTTCACATATCTCGAGTAGGCAGAGTATAATTCCTCACGTACCAGGTATGGGGCGTACTTTCACCTCGCGATTGGGGGACACGACCCCCGGAAGTAGATGTCGATCTTCCTGCCCTGTGGGAGTATTTCGGGGAAATGGGCCCGTAGTCAAGAGAATGTGATATATATAATGGCCGGGCAGGCCAGAAGTTGAAATGAAGATTCCCATCTGACTCTTTTTCTTTGTCAGCGTTGCCTTATATCCTGCTGTCGTTTGTTGTATATACGATTTGACTACGAAGCACCTCTTCAGTATGCATTGGACAAATGTAAGTGAGAGCAACGACTTTCTATATCTTCTGAGCAAATCACATATTGGACTCGAAGAAGCTAACACAATACAGATCCTTCCCCTTCTAACTCTCGCCCAATCGCCGGTAACTTCAGCTCTCAGCGCCGCCCGAGTATGGGTCAACTTCTCTCCCCAGTGCCCAGCGGACGATCACTCCTCTTACCCAGATGATCCCATTCTCGAGTTGCATGAAGAATTCACAACAGCCGTCGACGTGGTCGCCCGGAAATGCCAGGAAGTTCCTGTTCCTCTTCGATACACCATGGAGGTAGACCACGTCTCGATTGACGCAGAGCTCTTCTGGCAGGATAGCCTAGACCAATGTACCATTGCTGTGCACGAGTTGCCGGGCTGTACTGAGCCACCACTTATACAGAAGAAGATCGGACATGGGGAGGCACTCAGTGAGTGTGAAGAGCGGAACTTTGCCACGTTCACTCAGGTTTGGGTTAAGTTAGAGTGTGAGCAGATGAAGCCGGTTCATCATGGCATAGCTTCTTGGTACCATGGCAGACTTGCAAATGATACGGAGAGTGCTAATAGTACTGGAACCCATAATAATACTGGGAATCACAATAGCACCGGTTCCTACGGTGGAACTGGTGTTTTCCACAGCAGTGTTTGGAAGAAGATATTGGGAAACCGTCGGGCGCGACTTATGTCGTCCTGATAATAGTTCGTTGTGTTACACGCACTTGTTGGGAAGCTCCCTTTTGATATGCGTGTGTTTGATATCCGGGATTTTGTAGCGTGTTCGTTGCTTCGCTGTTGGTTGACGATGTTGAATAATGATCACGATTGATATGGTAAAATTGCATTCGTTTGGAAACCCCCAAGAACCATTGAGCATTGCCATTCATAGTATACAATTCATCCCTCTGAGAAAATACATGTAGCACCAAATCGACACGAAAAGTTGGCTAATAACAAAAACGAAACACAATATTTACCGACAACGCCCAATTGCTGCAAAGCACAGATAAGTGAATTTTACTAAAACCCAAAGCTATCGAGTAGTGAACTGGGATCAGGCTCGTGGAACATAGTCGGGGGTGGTTGTGGTTTCTTTGGCGCATCGTGCGACTTCGAAGACGGTGACAGGCCGGTCTTGATTGGCAGGTCTGCTACCACGAGACTGCTTCGTCGTCGAAGCATCTTCCGGTAATCAACACCATTCTGCTGCAGGTCAAATGATACTTCCCTCGCTGCCTTGGCAGGTGGAGGCTCGGCCAAGAACTCCCAATGGCGCACCAGGTTCAGTGCGAGAAGGTCACAACCCATTCGATCATAGAGACGCGCGTTGCGGATAACGAAGCCCCATTCTGCTGGACCAGAGACTTTAGATGCGCCCTTCAAGGTCTGCAATGTTTTCTCACGAAGCTGTTTGTATAAAACTACTAGAGCAGGATCGTTCGATAGGTACGATTTGGCATGTAGTGGGATCATTCCAGGGCTTCCGGGAGAAGCAGGTGTAGAAGGAATGAGTGTTTCAACGGGAGACTAAAGATACCAAAATTATCAGCATAAGGGGTCAGGAGGAAAACTAGGGAAATGGTGCCTAGTTGAGCGACCGACTTACAATTAGCGAGCGTACAGCCATATCACGACGGCCCAACATCCAGAAAGCCCAGGAAGCCATCCATCGGTTTCCGTCAGAGGCAGCTTCGGGTAAGACCCTCTCTTCCAGAATTTCCTTCAACACTGGCCCGTCATCCCCTTCGTAGGCGCGTACAATTGCAATAGCGAGCTGGAGATCGCCGACTTGATTGATACAGACCATAGCAGCATCGCGCAAGTGATCTGCAAGAAGGAAGAAGGCCGCCGCATACTCTGAAAGAGCGGTTAGCGTATTGAACGGACGCAGAGCTTCTATATGGTCAAAACTCACCAAATCTGCGCTTCCCAAGCAAGGCATATGCATTTTTCAAAGCGGTTGTTTTCCAACGAGGCTCTTGGAAGTTATTTGCAAGTAAACGCTGAGTCGCAGCTTGCTCACGATTCCATTGGGCCATGCGCCAGAGACCCTGGAGAATGTTCTTCTTCCCGAGAGCAATGTAATACAGTGAACAGTCAATCGGATTCTTCTCCTCGGTTTTAGTGTACTCATTCCGGGCAACCACTTCCAGTTGAGCTCGCTAGCAATTGTCAGCACGCAGAGCCCTAGGGGCAGGGCATGTGTCATAATATACTTACAATAGCCGTGGTATTCGATAACCACATGAACAAGCCGCTCTCTCTGGCTGCCTTCCATACCATCTTACCGCCGAACTGTCTCGATACAAGGTCTAAAAGGATATCCTGGCTACCACTATGAAAAGCCCAGACGATTTCTCTCCAGGAGACTCTATCTTTATTCGCAACGCCTTGCGTTCTTCGCAACATATGCTGCCGGAAAAACAGCAGATAGCGGGCAGCGTTGTCATCCATTGACCGCCGATGCTTTTCGACAGTGGCAACGCATTCGATAGTATCGGCCAGGCGGAATTGCTCTTGGCTGGAAAGTTGTGGCAAAGCAACCCTAGCTAAATTTTCATTGAGCGCAACAGCAGTGTTTTCATCCATGACAGATGGTTCATCCTCCAGCGAAAGATCTTCGTACGCGGAACGTAGTTCCTTGGACGACGCTTTCTGTGAGGTCTCCAAACTTGTTAGCTGCACGGCTAGATAGTACAGTAGTATCTTAACAAACTCACATCGTGTTCCAAATAGAAATCCTCCGGGGACATGTCCAAGAAGCCGTCGAGGTCATCACCTTCAGTATAGAACTTGAGCTTCCGGTGCAACCTTATCAAAATGGAATGCGCCAAATTACTCTTGCCACTGAGGATACACTGCGCCAAGAATTGGGGGTGAAACACAGGCAACGGGCCATTCAGCCGGCTGACAACCTCGAATAGGTCTACAAAGCCTTGGCGACGCGATGGAATACGAAGTTGTGAAACTAAACGATCGTTGGCATCGATTTCGTTGTCGTACACGAAAAGTTGGTTTCCGGCTCCGATCACAAGGTGGCCATTGTTAAGCCAACACGAATCTCCAATAGGATGAGGTGTAAGGTCCCGAATCCAGATCTCTCTGACTTGGGTCCAGGAAGGTCGAGCGTCAAGGTAGTCATAACGAAGCTGAGATAGCAGGATGACTTTGTGGGGAAACCCAACCGCAAGAATGGATTGCATATCTGGTGTGGAAGTCCAGTCCAGATCACGGATGATATCTTTCTGGCCAAAGTGCTCCTCATACTCCAACTGCGCGCCATTCGTATCCCAGACTGTCAAGTGGCTACGGTCCTCGTCCACAAGAGCTGCTTTTCTGATGGAGCTTCCACTGGCAAGGGATGGGTTTGCTATTCCCGTTTCAACTGTTGATGTTAATAGCCATTCAACCCGGCTCTTTTCTCTGTCGACCTTAGCAGCCCAGGTATGGACAATACCTGTCCGGGTATAAGACAACGCTATGTCGGGAGAGAATATATCGAAGAACCCAGACATTTCAGCTTTAGGACCTGCAGGGTCAACAGGCAAGATGTATGACATATCCTCCTCAAGGCCCAGATTGAAACTGCAGAACTTCTGTAAGCAGCATTGGGAGCTATGCGCTCCATTCGCTTGCTTTGTTGTAGTTGGGAGCCGGATCTCCCAAGCTATTCCGTTCCTATCGGCCCCGATCGTTGCTATATACACTATTCCCTTTTCCGTCGTGGGGATCGGGAGAACACAAAGTGGTTTGCTTGATAATTGGAATGTCGACGCAGCAACCTTTCTGGCATGGAAAGAGCGTAGATCCCAGACCGAAATTCCATTATGATGGAGATTGACAAGGAAATCTCCATTCTCAACCACACATGTGCGATGAATGTGTTCATCTGAGTATAGGGAGCTTTTCCGGATAAGCATCGACCCGCTATTCCTTCGTTTCTGTTTCCAAATCATCGCCTTGTTATCATCTGTACGTGAAACAAGAGTATCGCCGATCGCATTGCGGACAATCTTTTTGACAGGGCCATTGTGTCCTGTCCAAGATGCTTTCAGGGCAATCCGGTCTTTGCGTGGGCTCGGATCGAATAATGTATCGACTTGTGAATCATACCATTCAATACGGCCATCGAAGTGATGCACAAGAATAGAAAGCGAATCACCTAAATGTGTGTTTTGAAATGCACATATTTGGGCATAGTCCTCGTCTGCAGACAGTCCCCGCATAAATGAGATATTTAGGCCTTCTACATGGAGGATGTTGAAGGCATTCAGGTCAGA